TGCGCGGGCCGGCTGCACTGGCGCGTGCGCCGACCGGCAGCTCGTCCTGGCCAAGGTCCGGGCACGGGTGCTGGAGCATCTGAGCCCCCCTGCACCCCAAAGGGGGCCCCAGATGGAAGGGAGGAGGGTGCATCGGAGAGACGTCCTGCAGACTCCAGAAGTCCTCCCACACGAAGAGCTGGAGGACACCTCCCAGGTGATCCTTTTCCCTTCCACAGGTGAGGAGCCCCGTGGGGATGGAGAGGGCAGAAAGGTGCAGCTGGGATGTCGGGTCAGGGCACCAGGGATGTAGCAGGACTGGGTGTGGGACAGAAAGAGAACAGGCAGGAAAGCCAGGCTGGAACATAGGGATGGCGGAGATGTGGTGGAGAGCCATGAGGCAGAAGAGGACCCCAGGACCCCAGCAGGGAGAGGGGCAGAGGGCAGGTGAGAGGTGTAAGAGGCAGGAGAGGTGCAGAAAGCCTGGGGAGTGGCTAAGCCAGGTGGGATGCAACGAGATGGGGAGGGTTGAGGAGCAGGCAGGGAAGGAAGCTAGGGGGACAGCAGGATGCTAGGGGACAGGGAGAGGGTAAGAGACATGGGGTACAGAGGGATGGGACTGGTCTCCTGCCACGGCTCAGCCCACCCCAGCCCGGGGGAGCTGCTCACTGTTTGCTGTCCAGTCTTGACTGCTCCCCCGGGCTGGGGCAGGTCCTGCTGTCTGGCCAGGAGCAGGAGGCAGAAGAGCCTCCCCATGGGGGTGGCAGCCCACTCTGGGCACAGTGAGACCCCCTCTCTGCACCGCATGGGAGGCTGCAAGGAGCCAAGTACCCTGCAAGGGCCAGCGGTGCCTGCGCGGCTTGGAGCGCAGCAGGACCCAGCACTGCCCGGCCAGGCATGAGCCCTTCCCGGGATCGGGAGCGGCAGCACGGGCACCTCCTCTGCCCATGCAGTAGCTGCCGCGCGGCGCTAGATGTCAGCTCCCCCGCGCCCGGCCGCAGTCACACGCGCAGCGGGCACCCCCGCGTGCCCCCGGGGACCCTGCGCCTCCTGCCCCGCTTCCGGACACCTCCTTGCCCTGTGTGCTCGGGCATGCGCTGCGGTCACAGGACTTGCCCCAGCTGCTGCAGGTGCCTCTTTCTCCTTGCAGATGTGCCCTGCGAGCCCACGCAAGCGGACAAGCTGCTGGAGGAAGAAGGGATCTTCACCTACCTCTTCCAGCCATCACCCCACACCCTCAGCCGCACTGTGACCTCGGCCCAGCTCTGGTTTTACACCGGCCCCGCAGCCGCCCGCAACCACTCAGCGCCGGACGTGCTGACGCTGTCGCCGCAGGGCCGCGTGCCCATGCTGGCCACGGCGGTGCAGGCGCCCGACCACTGGACAGTGTTTCACTTCGACCCCACCTTGCTGCCCCACGTCTCGCAGCCGCTCTTCGTGCTGCTGGTGCGCTGCCCCGGCTGCCCCTGCCTGGCTGACAGCGAGAAGATGCCCTTCCTGGTGGCCACCACCCAGGCCAAGGGCAGCGAGCGGACTCGCCGCTCGGCTGTGCCCTGGTCGCCAGCCGCCCTGGCGCAGCTGCAGCGCCCATCAGCGGACGTGGCTGCCCACACCAATTGCCGCCGGGCCTCCCTCAACATCTCCTTCGAGGAGCTGGGCTGGGACAACTGGATCGTGCACCCCAGCAGCTTCGTTTTCCACTACTGCCATGGCAGCTGCTCCGAAGGCCACGGCCTGAGCCACCGGCTGGGGGTGCAGCTGTGCTGCGCTGCCCTGCCAGGCACCATGCGCTCGCTGCGTGTCCGCACCACCTCCGACGGCGGCTACTCCTTCAAGTACGAGACTGTGCCCAACATCCTGGCCCAGGACTGCACCTGCGTTTAGCACCCAGCTTACGCCCTGCCGCCGCAGTGTGTTCCAGCCACAGCCTGCCCCACAGCACCCGCAGCCCTGCCCTGCGCTGCCTCCCTGGGTGATGGCCTGAGCCCCTGGGCAGGTAACGATCCTCTCCAGGGCGATGGGGGAGTCACTTGCCAAGGGATTCCTACCACACGCTGCAGCACTGTCCCCAGCTTAGGGATAGGGACCAGACAGGGATGCAAACCTGCCTTTGGCTGGGGGCATCTCTGTCCAGCTCATCCCACATTTCTTCCAGGCCACTCCTGCCCCCGCATCGCGTCTCCCCAAATAAGACTGGGAATGCACAATGCCGCTCCTGCTTGTTAGCACTAAGCCCAAAGGTCTCAAGGCTGCTTTGCCAAGGGCACAGTTTGTGCTGGCACCTGCAGCACCTCACAGCAACTCACTGATGGCAGGGGGAAGTGAAGCCCTCCCAAGCCTGGTCCCAGGACCATGAGGAGGGGCAAGTGCCTCTGGAGAAATCCCACGAAGTTGTGTCCTGTCTCCCTGGAGGCCCCGATTGGGAACCCAGGCCTGGAGAGCAGCTGGGTGCTCCCATCAGTGGTCTGCTTGCCTAAGGCTACTTGATCCCTGCAGGTTTTGGAAATGCAAACTGCCCCACGTGCTCCTAGCCAGAGGCAAGCAGGACTGGCTGGCGGCAGGGCAGATACAGGGCTGGGAATGTGGGAGCAGGGACATGGGACAGGCTGGGCTGGGGCAGGCTGGGCCAGCTCACAGCCAGCCAGCCAGGTGCAAGGCTGGAGACACAGGATGGGATGTGCAGGGGCAGGCGGAGCCGGGATCTCGCACAGGTCGCGGGGCCTGTGGTATGCGGGGCGCTGCAAGTAAGTGCTCTGCGAGTGGCAGAACCTGTTTGAAAGATTAACGGGATGAGTGAAATAAACCTGTTTTCTTTACAAAAAAAAAAAAAAATCTCAAAATGCCACTTCAACCAGAGGCAGCCACATGGGCCGCGAGTGGTTAGGCAGCGGCATGCAAATTCCCAAGACTTTTGGGAAAGGAGGACTGGCCGGCGTTGCCTCAATGGCAAGCGACAGCTGCTTGGCCGGCAGTAGCAGAGCGTGGTCTGGCTGGATACGGGCCTGGCCCCAGCGCAGGGTCCCGAAGGACCATCCGGGCTTGGCAGTGCCGCAGGCTGCAGGAGGCCGGGGCTGCCGGCGTCGGGCCGCCCAGCCCTAAAGCCGCGCACAGCCCGTTGCACGCGCTTGGCCTCCCACCAGCGCAGGGGCACTGCGACCGGGCTGCGAGCAGCGGCCGTGCAGAGCCGCAGAGAGGACAAGCTGCCCGCGTGCCCCAGCTCCCCACAGAGGCCGGCTCTGCCCCCTCTCCGCCTGCCCTCGCAGTGGACACACTCGGCCCTCCATGGAGGGAGGAGGAAGTGCCCTGTGAGCACATCTGCCCCGTGGCTCCGCCTGCTGCTCCCACACTTTCCTCTGCCATCAACCCCTCCACAGGGGCCGTGCTGACAGCCCAGGAGCCCTCCGCCTGGCCCAAAGACAGGGCTCCATGTGGCACAGGGCCTCACTGCCTCTGATCCGGCCCCGGGGTAGGGAAGAGCAGGGGACTGCTGGATCCGAAGGAGCGGGGAGCCCCCCTGGCAGGGCCCCGGGCGCCACGATGCCGAGGAATGCGGCTCGCGCTTTCCGGCACTTTCCGGCGCCCTGACCCTGAGCAAGGCGGCGGCGGCTTGGCTGGTCCGCTGCGGGCTGCCCGGCAGAAGCCACCTCCCCGCTGCAGGAACAACTGAGTCATCCCACGCCAAAACCAAAACGGGAAGTCCCGAGGAGTAGCCTGAGGAGCAGCCCGTGCTTCCTCTGAGGCACGGTGCCCGCCCTCGCGCACTCCCAGCCCATCTGCGCAGGACTCCCTTCCCACCCCTTCCTCCCCAAGGATCAGATACAGCAGCTCAGTACAAAACATCTTCAGGCTTTACTGAAAATATTAAAAAAAAACAAAACCAAAAAACAGTCACAATCATTTGAGTACAAAACAAAGCTACAAAATCACCACGCGGCCCTGGCTGAGATGATCAGAAATGCCCAGCTGCCTCCCTGCTGGCCTCTGCTAGGGACACTGCCCCCTCCCGCAGCGGGACACGGAGCAGCGGGAATGGCTTTGCTCCAAACACCAGCCGAAGCTGCTGCAGGGCAAACGGGGCAGTCAGGAAGGCCGGTGCCCACCCTCTGCACGCACATTTCCACACGGGATAGTCCCAGCGGCTCGTACCGACGTGTGAGGGGAAGGCATCCCACAGCACTGCCCCACAGCCCCCCGAAAGCAGCTGCCTGCCCGCAGGCTCCTGCTTCCAGCAGGAACGCCGCTCCCAGGCCCTCCTGTGCACAGGGTGACACAGGCCCAGGCCTTTGCCCCTGCCCATCCCTGACTTCAGTCTTAATGCCCAGCTCCGCTGGGCTTGGCCCAGCCAGCTGGACCCCGCGTCACCACAGCTCCAGGGCAGTTGCCTCACGGCACGGGGGAAACACTGGCAACACCAGCATCCCTGCTGGCACCCGCACGTGAGAAGCACCCTCCTGGCCAGTGCGGCTGCCGGCGAGGACAAGTCCAGTGCGGCACAGAGGGACACAGGTGGAAGCTGCTGCTGGAACTGGGTGAAGAAGGAAGATAGAGGGGCTAACAGGGCAGACAGAGAGGGAAGGCACAGGCCTAGAGCAGGAATCAGGAGCACAGTGTAGAAATGCCAGGGCACACGCTGATGCATTTATAAAAATGTACAAAAATAAGATATTCCCTTTCTTTAAAAATTAAGAAGAGTGACGGAATGTTCCCCACGACCCCTTCCCAATCCCTGCCCATCAGGGCAAGGTACACCCCCAGCCAGCCCCACAGGAGAGAAACCTTCATCCTCAGCTGCCCTCTCATGGCTGGCTGTCTTTCCAGTGATGGCAGGAGCAGCCACTCCAGGTGACGTCTCCACAGTCCCAGAGGCGCCACATGACACTCACAGCCCTGCAGGGAGCAGAACGCACGTTAGTGCCCATCCCTGCCCCACCGCCCCGGGCGACCCCTCGCCCTGCCCGCATGAGGAGCCACGCAGAGCCCATCTGCCCGTCACAGGGGACACCCGGCCCCTGTTTCTTACAGACAGGTGAAGTCCAGCTCCTCAGAGTGGCCCAGGGAAGCTGGGATTGACCCGACCAGCATCCCTTCCCCGCTGCATCCCTAGCTCACCTGTGGTTTTCTCGCAGACGGTGCCTCCCTTCTCGTGGGCAAAGTTGAGGCGGTTCTGCTCAGCAGCCATGCCGTTGGCCTCCGGGCTGCTGCTGCGGGACGGGCTGGCAGTGTCCAGCGGCGGATTGAGGTGGAAGGCCATCTCCAGGTGCTCCTGGGCCAAGCGGAGGTGCTTGCGCAGCCTGTCCAGCTCATGCTCCGGGGGAGCACCAGCCAGGGCGAAGCGCTCCGTTGTGGAGCTGGCCAAGTTCTCCCCGTAGACCAGCTTGCCATTGGGCAGCGGGGCTTTCAGGGGCTCCTTCTTCAGCGAGTGGTAGGTGGGGGGCGCGCTGGGAGCTTTCTTGGCATACTGCAGCCCAGGGCTGGTGTCATTAAGGTGTGGGAGATCATCTGCCTGGCTCAGTGCATCCCGGATGCGGCCCACGCCAAGGTGCACGAGCTCGCAGAGGTTGAGGAAGAGGCAGAGCCCGCTGACTGCGTACATGATGAGCAGGAAAATAGTCTTCTCGGTGGGGCGGGAGACAAAGCAGTCGACGGTGTGTGGGCAGGGGCTGCGGCTGCACACGTAGGATGGGCTTACCTCAAAGCGGTACAGTAGGTACTGCCCGAAGAGGAAGGCCATCTCCAGCAGCGAGCGGCACAGCAAGTGCAGCACATAGGCACGCATCAGCCCGTCCTGCTTGATGCGGCGTCGGCCGTCGTGTTTTTCCCCACCCTCTGGGCTTTTCTCCTTCTCCACCTCAATCTCTTCAAAGATCATGGGGTCTTCTTCATTATCATCCTCTGCCTCTTCATACTCGCGCCCGGCTCCCCGGCGCACGACCGGCATGCGTGCCCGCCGGCCCGCCGAAGCGCGGCGTCGCCCGTTCTCTGGCATCCGGGCGATACGGTGCATGGCAAAGCCCAGGTATAGCACTGACGGCATAGCCACCATGATGATCTGGAAGATCCAGAAGCGGACGTGGGAGAGCGGGGCGAAGGCGTCATAGCACACGTTTTCGCATCCGGGCTGCTGCGTGTTGCACACAAACTTGCTCTGCTCATCGTAGTAGATGGACTCCCCTCCGACAGCCGTCAGCACGATTCGGAAAACAATGAGGACTGTGAGCCAGATCTTGCCCACGAAGGTTGAGTGGTTGTTGATCTCCTCCAGGAGCCGTGTGAGGAAACTCCAGCTCATCCTGGCCAAACAGTTGGCTCAAATCCTGCGGGGATGGGCAGCCAATAAGCCACAGAGCAAACCCAAATACACTGTACCTGGTCCCCAAACCACCAGCCTCCACCGCAGACCTGCACCTCCATCTCTTGTTCTCCCAGCAGCTTACCCACCAAGCTCACAAACACAAGCTTGAGTTGGGATCCCTCTCTCCAAAACCACAGCAGCTCCAAGAAAGCCAGAAGGAATCTCAGCTCCAGGCAGAAACAAAGAGCCTAGACTGGCCCCTCTCCCTGCTCCCCATAAGATCCGGCTCACTGGCTACCCCATGCCAAGCACCTCCTCCGCACACTTCCCTTTCACACTGTGTTCCAGGCTTGTGGCGGACGCCAGCCAGGTGGGTGACGGGGCCAAGGCAGCAGGGACGGGGCAGTAGGCGAAAAGCTGGGCCAGCTACCTCCTGTCCCATCCTGAATACATCTGGGGGAAGAGTCAGACGCAGGCTCGGTAAACAAGGGAGCCTCCCGTGGAGCCCGCCAGGGAGGGTGAGGGAACGGCCTGCTCTTCCTCTTCCTTCCCGGTGCAGCCAGGGTGCGACAGCACCCGTCTGCCACCTGGTCCTGGGCAGCTCCCTGACCAGCACCCACATCCTGCCACGGGCCATGGCTTCTGCTCCCCCAGGACAGCACACACCCCTTGAGTCAAGATGACCCCACAGCACCTACCCGCCTCTCGCCCAGCACCGCACCCAGCCCCTCAGCTCCCCCGAGCCTGCTGCCCCCGGAGCCCACATCCCCAAAGCTCTGTGCCATGCCTCACTGTGCCGGCAGCCTCCAGCTGATCTCCATCCCTCAAAATCACTATGAGCACCCAACGCCCGTCCTCAAATGCCCTGCTGTTACAGCGGGCACTCACTGCATGCCTTCCCTGCATCTCCTGCGCAGAAGCCTCAGCCTGGCTCCAGCCAGGCAGCCCTTTAAGAGGCTGCTCTCAAGAGGGGCTCCTTGGCTCAGGCCACACCTCAACCCTACAGCAAGCCCGCATTCGGCATCAAACTTACCGAGGAAGCACAGCGTGAGGAACAGAGCAATGGCGAGGGGCAGCGTGGGGCAGCCAAGGGACCGATTGCACAAAGTGCAAGAGAAGCAGCTGACACCAAAGTCAGGGAGGAAATTACAAGCAAAGCACGAGAACGTCTGCCTAAATAGCGAAGAATATGCAAGAGGAGACTCCCCATCACCACCCCCGGTTTTGGTGGCTTATGACGTGTGAGCTGATGCAAGGGGAGCAGGTGGCGGGGCTGCCCAGAGGGAGAGGGAAGTGCCAGGCACGAGAGCATCACAGAGCATGTGCCACGCACTGCCACGGAGCCCCAGCCTCCTCCCAGCCTCGCCTGTCCTCAGGCCAGTCCTGTCCCTGCACCTCCGGCCAGGGCACATCTCTGCCCGTGATTTCTCTGGCCTCACTCATGCCGCTATTGTTCTGCTCCAGCTCCTCCACTGCAGCCTCGTTGCCGATTAAGAGGATCTTTTGGGCTTAGCTCAAGGTGCCTCCTCAGCAAACCTCACCTAAAGAGTAAAGCTCCTCCTAGCATGAGCATCCACATGGGATGCAGCTTCCAGTGAGGACCTGGTGTTCACACAGAGCCTGCTGAGCTGCAGGAGAAGGCTGGGGGGACAAAATGCTGCTGCACAGGCTGGCACCAGGGCACCAAACCCAGCCCCCGGGCTACCAGCCTCTTTTGTTGTCAAGCTCTTTTTAACACACTGATGTCTCAGCCCTAGGGCAGGTTCTGCCCCATCAGTCCCTGGTGCCAGGCTCTCCCTCCCAGGCCTCCACCAAATCCAGGGTGCTTTGTGTCTACCTCCAGCCTGGCAGCAGCACAACGCACCGGTACCGTGGCACAAGGTTGGAGCAGCAGATGAGATGAGGGAGACAAGAGAGCAGGGCAGCCCCTGGGGCTGGCAAGCACACACAGACAGTAGGGGTGACACGTGGCGCAGCTGCGGGCTAGGGGCACTGCGTTCCTCCCTGCTGTGGACACAGTCCCCGGGGTCAGCTAACAGAGATCACCTCCAAGGAATGGGGCTGAGCCACCCACTGGCACCTGGCCACGCCGTGAATCAGGACCCGCGCCGCATGGCCCAGCTGGGCCCTACACCTACAACCCCAGCCCCGGTGGACCCAGATCCCTCTATCTTGGTCTGCCTGGGGACCCCAGCCCCACCAACCCCGGCCGGAGCCCCCTCCCCTAGCCCTGACCAGGGCCCCCGCACCCTGCCCACTGCCTTCCCAGAGATTCCCCCGCCCTCAGCCTCGGCCC